GAATCATCTTCAAAATGCAGAGGTCAATGTCTAATGGTTGAAAGGAATTATTTGATAGTGGGTCACCTTGTAGCTGCATAGTGCAGAAAATATGGGTTTTGCATGTAAAACATATGAAAAGCCACAGACTGCTGCAAAGTGTCTGATAACACATCTGATGGCAGAGCGGTCAAGTCTTCACTTTCATGTGATTCTGGTTGTTGTCAATTTGTGTCAGCCATGTGGTGCACTTTGGAGGGGAAATGTGTGTCAAACTTGGAAGTGTGTGTGTACACTGTCTTACCTCCAGTTGTGTCTCACATCTGTTGATGTCATCTGTAGACTGGTTGAGTTTCTCCAGTTCTCCCTGTAAGAAAGAGAGCAAAGGACAATATTGAGCAACACCAAGAGAAAGGAATGTAATACAGTATCTGGGAAGTCTGCAACATCTGGAATGTGTTACACTTGGATGAAATACTAGACTGGACATTAGAAGGTAGCCAGAGTGATGGTTTGAACAAATACAAGAATCAGCTATCATCTTGATTTATGGATATATTAACTGCACATAGCTTTTAAGGCTAAACAATGTTATTTTTCAACCAATTAATAGCCTAATACACAGCAGAAGGTATATTCAGATGAACATGCTATTTGAGTGTCAGGCCTGTATTCCCATGCATTCCATTAAATCAGAAACAAGTTTGGCTAAAACATAGCCCATCATAAACCTAACAAGTAGGCCTATGTCTCAACTTAGTTGGCTACAATACATACCTTTTGTTCAAGGTAGATCGACAGTCTTGATAAATCAATACATTAAAAACAATTTGAAAAAAGACCCCAAATCAGATAGACTTTCTGCCAGGGATAATACATACTCTTCCACTGTGCATTGAATAGTGGATGTATCAAATGCTGTTAAATTAAGAGATTAGTTAGTCTCAACTGAAACAAAGAGCAATTGTTATTATAACGTACCTGAATTCTAGGGTCCACCTCCTCTTCTTCGTATTCCGAATCTTCGTCAGACCTATTTTCTTTCTCCAAATTGTCCATTCTGGACGATAAAGCCGTCTGTGTGCTGTCGGAACGAACAAAGCCAATTTCCAAGATACGCTCTAACGGCGAGACCTGCGCTTCTAGAACAAACACGCTCAATCACACTGCAACATTAGTAATGATAAAAACGAGGTTTTAAATATTTATATGTATATCAAACCATATACAGGTCATTGAGAGACAAAAGAGTGATTATCGTCTTGTAAAATGTAAATTGACAGAGCACCGCTCTGTCTGCGTCCAATGCCAAGCCACTGAGCAAGTGATGATGAAATGACTTGTGCACGGGTATCTACAGCGTAAGGTCACGCCCCCTTCCTTGTTTTCATTTCCCATGCCCATCAGAGGGGAAAAGAGAGAAGCAGAGGATGGCAGGCATGCAGATTGAGGGGGGTGATTGTTTTGACAGTTATGTAACTCAGACTGTCTGGCTGCTCACATTAAAGCCAGAGGACAGACCAGTTAGACCACCAGTTTGAACACCAGTTCACTGCCAGTGTTAATAATGGGGAGGAAGAAAATCAACCAGTCAGGAAAACCTCAATGACTTTTTCCACAGCGCTCCAATCTGATGGGGTCGTGTCCCGTTCGGAAACCCGTCTAGTCCTTGGAATACATCCGCTACCCATTCACTGACAAGAGAATCACGTGCCCCATTTAGGAGGAGAATCAAATATATTGTATATAGCCTACTTATTGTATGTAGGATGGCTGTGATCAGGGGGGAGTGGGAGTATACAGTATATGAAGAACCAATGTGAAATCAGGATTAGTATTTCAATAGGTATTCATAACTGCATACACAACATTGTTTCGCCAATACTTTTCAAAACCATAAGCACCAAAAAGCCACATCTAGGACTGTGAACACTTTTTTTTTTTTTTACTGAAACCAATATAAGTCAATATCATTAAGGAAGGGATCCCTTCCACAGAGGAAACAGTGTACTCGCCTCATCTCACAAGCGTTTAGCTTCCCACATTACATCACTGTAACTACTATCAAAATCACAAGGACATCTACAGTAGTCAGCATGTTCTGTCCACCCAAAGGAACGTGTCTGAATAACAGGATATGTCAAACCCCTCCAGATATAGAGTACTAGAAGGCTATGTCCTCTTCAGTGCTCTCTTCCACTGTGGAGCAGAGCTGACCTCAGCCTGAGCATGTGCGTGTGTGAGAGACTTTTCTACAGGAAGTGCCCTCTCTATAAAGGAAATGACACAGCAATATAAGAGAGACGGATCTTGGCATGGTCCTGCTTAGTAGGGCGGAACGTTCAGAACATTTAGAATTGAGATGGATTGTGTAGTTCGGACAACGCTGATAGATATGCACTATATTTGATCTCTGAGACACACTGAACATTCTGCCCATTTGAATAAGGTGAGAGTGAAAAAGAGAGGGGGAGAGAAATATGTAATCATACGCTGCAATCCCTCCTATCACATTCCTCTTATGCAATATCATCACACTCATGAGGGCTCCACTTCACAAAACATTCCAGGTACTTATAGCGTCTTCATATACAAAGGATCCTAAGAGGCTGATAATGATCACTTAGTGCTGTAAATGTTTAGGGGAAAGTGCCAAGTGTTATAGCAGTGGGTGAATGTGGACTGGATTACATTAAGAGAACATTGTTGGGGGTAGAGGCTCACAATAATGATTTGCCTGGACCATCAGTAAGAACCCTCGTCACGCGACAGAAAGACGGGCGCCACTTGTTTATGTGTGTGTGTGTGTGTGTAGAGGAAGGATCAGGGTGTGTCCCTGCATCCCGAACATTACAATGGTGACAGGTGATTAGTAATGAGTGATGATGGGGACCTTGAATAGGACTGGGAGCACCTGTGTACTCCCTCAATGACTAATTGTGTTGCTATAGACTTCCTATTGACAGGATATGGAAATGGAGCGTACTGTGCTTATTCACTATCCACTGGGCACACACTGGTTGAATCAACGTTGTTTCCACCTCATTTTAATGAAATGACGTTGAACCAACGTGGAATAGACGTTGAATTGACATCTGTGCCCAGTGGGTAGGGTCGGTCTGACCTAGGCGCTGCACTGATTATCTGATCTATAAATCAACCCAATTTGTAAACAAATGATAAATCCCTTTCATAGAGATTAATGTCAGTGAAACTGTGCAAAGCCTTTCTCTCTTGCGGACAGACGTTAACATAAAGTAGATGCAAGATTTTGGTTCTGGGTTGCCGAAATCATGCTCAGACCCACGTGAACCTACCTGGTGATATAAAGAACCCTTTTAAACGGCAGTGCTTTGCCATCCTCTACTGTATCAGTAAACCCTGTATAGGCTATAAAAAGCCAGAAGGGAGCTGGCCTTTGAGCCCCAAGTGTCCAGCAGACAGTGTCTGGTGGGGTTGCGGCATTTCACTGAATGTCAGACTCCTCATGTACTGTGGATCTAGCTGCCCTCACGTTCCTGATGATGTGAGAGGAGTGACACGTGTTCCCTTGTCTCATCTCCCAAAGGTGACATGGCACAAACCCACACTGACCCAGCCCACTGCTGGAAAGGGCAAACGCGTGGTGGGGGCAGTTCCACATGAAAAAATACACACCAAAAACCTGCACGTGCACATAAGCACACACACAGAAACGTGCACACACACACGCCTAGATAGGACAAACACCTGTAGAGGTCTTTGAAAAGGTGACATGTGAGTAATAATTTCAGGTGCTTGCTGGTGACTCATCCTACCACAGGGTCAGGGGTGACTTTGTGGTGTCACAGATGGATGCATTTGGAGGGGGGACTGAAAAAAGAGGTGGTCTCAAAAACAAATCCAGATGCTCGTTGTTCAGTGCCTAAAGACATAAAAGCAGAGGTATTCTTGTATGTAGTGGCAACTTAAAAATATAAGGAACTGTTACTGTTACGCTAAAACAAATCCTGCCCACTCAAAATCATTAGGTGCATAATCTCGGACACCAAGAACTAAAATCTTGCATAATTGTGTCAGATATGTTACATGCATCTGTCCACGAGAGATTATTAGGTGCATGACATCTACATTAAACCATCACGTTTACATTTTTAGAAGTCAACATGGGTTTGCCAAGTATGCACATTGTGTATGAATGCTAGGTAAACATGATAAATTGGAAATAGAAAACAAATTGAGCAGGATAAAAAATATGAGACAATATTTATTTTGACTGTAACCAAGGAGCACTTGATGTTACATATTTTATACAGGTTTTGTTGCCCCCTTGTGGTAAAAATAAATGTGATTGGAAAAGATGGCAGCAAAAAATAGTATTGGAACTTTAACAACTCTGAAACTACACAACCAAACCATTCTCTCTAAGAAATTCTCCATCATATACACATATAGTTTTATCATTGGTGTAAAGTAACTAAGTAAAAATACTTTCAAGTCCTACTTAAGTATTTTATTTGGATTCTGTACTTGACCATTTTATTTTTTATAACTTTTACTTCACTACATTACTAAAGAAAATATGTACTTTTTACTCCCCTACATTTTCCCTGACACCCAAAAGTACTCGTTACATTTCGAATACTTAGCATGACAGGAAAATAGTCAAATTCACATACTTATCAAGTGAACGCGCAGTCATCACTAATGCCTCTAATCTGGCGGACTTCACTAAACACAAATGCTTTGTTTGTAAATTATGTCTGAGTGTTGGAGTGTGCCCCTGGCTATTGTTAAATAAAAAATAAATTGTGCTGTCTGGTTTGCTTAATATAAGGAATTTGAAATTATTTATAGCATTTACTTTTACTTTTGATACTTAAGCATATTTTAGCAATTACATTTACTTTTGATACCTAAGAATATTTAAAACCACATCATTTTAGACTTTACTCAAGTAGTATTTTAGTGGGTAGCTTTCACTTTTACTTGAGTCATTTTCTATTAAGGTATCTTTACTTTTACTCATTCAAAGTATGACAATTGGGTACTTTTTCCACCACTGAGTTTTATTAATAAAAAAGCATATTCAAACAAACGGCACTTGATCAGCAATACGGCAGTGTAGGCTTTTGTCCAATGATATCCGTTTATATATGAAGGTTTCAGTCCATTTGTGCCTTTGAAGGTTTCAAACATTTGTTGCGGAAAGGGACTTCAGGAGCTCTGTAATTGGTCTGGCCTTCGGAACTTGCTTTGAAGGAACACCCTGGGCACACAAAGTCCCTCCTTCTTATTGACCGTTTCTCGTAGCACGTACTCATTGGTTACACTCTCGAACCCCGCCCCTCTGAACAGGTCAGCTAAGAGCTCTGAAACACAGAAGGTTCAGATGAAAATGTATAGATTGTACGGAGATTGTGACAGCCGGTTAAATGGCGTCCCTTGACAAGGCAAGAACAAGATGTATGTCAGGAGACATGCAGTATTATCATCAGGAGAGTTAGACTTGGAATACGGAGGAGGAATGGAGGGAAAAAGAGAGGCAGAGGAGGTCTAAGAGAGAGAGAGGGAGGAAGAGGGTGAGCTTGAGTCGGTTAAAAATGGCAGAAATAAGGGAGATGGTTTGTTAAAGGAGAATGGTAGAAAGTGTAAGCAGAGTGAGTTGAAGACAATAGGAGAAATGGAAGTGAATGAGGGCGAAGTATCGGAGGTGGTAGGTGTGGTGAAGTTCTCGGGGCCCGAGGCTTGCACCGAGGGTCAGGATAAAGATGAGTCTGTGACAGTAGGAGTGACGTTTTTGGAAAAAGTGGACCCTTGCCTTTTGGCTGATCCATTTGTGGTTTCAGGTTGGGTGAAAACAGAGTTGGGTGCTGTGGAATCGGTGAGGGTAACCAGAAGTGGTCTAGTGATAATTGTTTGTGTTTCTGCTGGTCAGAGGGAGCAGGAGCTCCGTGTTAAATGAATGGGGACAAGATATGTGAATTGTTTTGCTCTCAAGAAAAAGGAGCCATTGAAAGGAGTGATTACTGGGGTAGCGGTAAATGTGAAAGCTGACCAACTGAAGGAGAAGATTCCCGTGTTTGTGATGCTCGTCGTTTGGTGAGACGCAGACAGGTTGGAGTGAGTGGAGAAACAGTCGAGTCATTGTCTGTTCTTTTGAGTTTTGATGTTGAGTCTTTGCCCGACAAAGTGATATTAGGATATATAAGTTATCCTGTACGAGCTTTTGTGCTGAATACATTACATTGTTACAGGTGTCAAGCTTATGGGCATGTGGCAGCAGTGTGTAGGAGGGAGGTTCCTAGATGTGAGAAGTGTGCAGAAGGGCATAAGACCAAGGAATGTGTAGCATTGGGGAAAGCAGTGGTATGTGTTAAATGTAGGGGTGCCCATGCAAGAGAGGCAGGTTGAGGTTTCCAGGGTTAGAGTAGTGCAGAAGTTGTCATATGCTGAGGCAGTGAAGAAAGTAGAGGAAGATGGGTCAAGGGGGAGGGATCCTGAGAGGAGTGGTGTGAGTAGTAGACCTATACCAGTACAGAGGGATAAACCAACAAGTGATATACACTACCAGTCAAAAGTTTGGACACACCTACTCATTCAAGGGTTTTTCTTTATTTTTACATTACAGAATAATAGTGGACATCAAAACTACGAAATAACACATATGGAATCATGTAGTAACCAAAAAAGTGTTAAACAAATCAAAATGTATTTTATATTTCAGATTCTTCAAATAGCCACCCTTTGCCTTGATGACAGCTTTGCACACTCTTCGCATTCTCTCAACCAGCTTCATGAGGTAGTCACCTGGAATGCATTTCAAAAGTTAATTTGTGGAATTTAATTCCTTCTTAATGCGTTTGAGCCAATCAGTTGTGTTGTGACAAGGTAGGGGTGGTATACAGAAGATAGCCCTATTTGGTAAAAGACCAAGTCCCTATTATGGCAAGAACAGCTCAAATAAGCAAAGAGAAATGACAGTCCATCATTACTTTAACACATGAAAGTCAGTTAATACGGAACATTTCAAGAACCTTTAAAGATTCTTCAAGTGCACTCGCAAAAACCATCAAGCGCTATGATGAAACTGGCTCTCATGAGGACCGCCACAGGAATGGAAGACCCAGTGTTACCTCTGCTGCAGAGGATAAGTTCATTAGAGTTACCAGCCTCAGAAACTGCAGCCCAAATAAATGCATCACAGAGTTCAAGTCACAGACACATCTCAACATCAACTGTTCAGAGGGGACTGTGTGAATCAGGCCTTCATGGTCAAATTGCTGCAAAAAAAACACTACTAGAGGACACCAATAATAAGAAGAAACCTGCTTGGGTCAAGAAACACGAGCAATGGACATTAGACTGGTAGAAATGTGTCCTTTGGTCTGGAGTCCAAATTGGAGATTTTTGGTTCCAACCGCAGTGTCTTTGTGAGATGCGGTGTGGGTGAACGGATGATCGCCGCATGTGTAGTTCCCACCGTAAAGCATGGAGGAGGAGGTGTTATGGTGTGGGGGTGCTTTGCTGGTGACACTGACTGTGATTTATTTAGAATTCAAGGCACACTTAACCAGCATGGCTACCACAGCATTCTACAGCGATACGCCATCCCATCTGGTTTGGGCTTAGTGGGACTATTATTTGTTTTTCAACAGGACAATGACCCAACACACCTCCAGGCTGTGTAAGGGCTATTTTACCAAGAAGGAGAGTGATGGAGTCCTGCATCAGATGACCTGGCCTCCACTATTCTCCGACCTCAACCCAATTGAGATGGTTTGGGATGAGTCGGACCACAGAGTGAAGGAAAAGCAGCCAACAAGTGCTCAGCATATGTGGGAAAAGCATTCCTGGTTATGATGGTTGAGAGAATGCCAAGAGTGTGCAAAGTTGTCATCAAGGCAAAGAGTGGCTATTTGAAGAATCTCAAGTATAAAATATATTTTGATTTGTTTAACACTTTTTGGGTTAGTACATGATTCCATATGTGTTATTTCATAGTTTTGATGTCTTCACTATTATTATACAATGTATAAAATTGTATAAAATAAAGAAAAACCCTTGAATGAGTAGGTGTGTCCAAACTTTTGACTGGTACTGTATGTTTCAGTAAGATTGGATTTTTGGCATTTATAGCAATGGTTATCAACTCTACTGCAGGGATGGAACGTAAGTAGCAGAAAATAGAGGTTGTGGTGGCAGCTACGGAGAGGTATTTTGGTGTGCAAGACTTGACATCGGAAGAGTTACAGGGTGTGTTAAGTGGCGATGTCCGATCCTTTCAGGCTGTTGGCCTGAAGTAGGACAAAATAGATTTAAATAGTGGAGTATGATATTTTTTATTTATTTTTAATGTTTTGTGAGTGTAGTGTTAGATGATAGGGTATTAGTATTATTATTTTTTTGTATATTTTAAAAAAAAGAAAAGTATAAGGGAGTTAAACTCCAGTCTAGTAGGTGGCAGTAATGCAACATTTATTGGATGCCAACTGCCGTTAAACCTCATCGAAGAAGAAGAAAAATGTATAAACAGAGAAAGAGTCCCATAGAAGAGACCGACTGCTTACTGCTTGTGCGTTATGTGATGAGAGAAAGAAAGAAAGAAAGACAAAAAAGCTAAAAGAACTACTACGAGGGAAAATGTAGGAGAGGAAAGAGAAAGAGGAATGGACTGACCTTTGGAGAAGAAATAAGACCTGGTGCCGTCCTGCCTGACGTAGAAGTTCTCTCCCAGTTTGTTTCCGGCCTTAAACCTCATCATGGCGTGGTCATACAGGCCATAGTCCCTGAACAGAATGATGCCCCCTGGCTTCAGAACCTGACACAGAGAATGTCAATTCAGTCACGAGTTATTTTGAGGGTGTTTAAAGTGTTTACTGCAGTTTCATGCTTTTCCTCAGCCCTGTCTCACCCTGTAAATGTTGTCCAGAGCCTGCTGCATCTTGTCTGGGTGGATGGCTGAGAGGACGAATATGAGCGTGGCCACATCCACACTGCCCACTGGGACATTACCCCTCAGGTCATCTTTAGTCAGGTCACACTGGAACGCACTGCAGCGCTCAGTGCAGTACAGGGGGTGTTGCTGAGGACAAAGAGAAAATGACTCTGGACATCAGGGTTGTTTTGTTAAAAGTCTCACTAGCTCCGGGTCATTAGTGGTACATCTTCTTACCTTCACAAACTCCACAGCTCGTGGTGAGAAGTCACAGGCATAGACAAAGATGTTGAGGTCTTCCTCCAGTAGTGGGAAGATGCAGTTCCCAACCCCACAGCCAGCTTCAAGCAGGACCAGCCTCTGGGCTTCAAACTGAGAGAGAGAAACGTACCATATTGAGATGCACCCCTAGTTGGGAACCTAACAACATCCTACACCATCTTCTTACCTCAAGGCACACTTTCAGTTCTTCAAACTCTCTGGTGGTCCAATGCCTATCCTTGAAAAAGTTTGTAGTGTTCCTTTTGTAAAACAAGTCCCAGTTTTTCTGTGCCTCCTTTTCCAACTTCATCTGCTTGAAGTCAGACACCAAAGTCTGGTCACCTGTCAGTTTCTCCATCTCTTTCTCATTCAAAGTCCTGCCAGTAGATGTTTTGCTTTGGACTGGTTGGGTAAGACATGGCAATCTGTCTTTGGGTTCCTCTCCAGGGAGTACAACATTGGCTGTGTCGTCTTGCTTTGATAGTGCCATAACTTGCACTACTGTAGGTAACGGTAGTAGCTAATAGCAGAACTTCCTTGACATTCTCAAATCTATTATATTTCATCAATCCATATTAAATGATCCAGCTAATATTAATGGATGGTACTAACACATTGTAGTGATAGATAGACTGCTAATGAAAATGCACGAAATATTTCCACATACATTTTTAATGAACGCAAATGTTCCAGAAATGTTCTAAGATTTCTCGTGTGGCATGTAGTCTTCTTCGTCCGTGTGGGAACAGTGTTTGATTACGATGATTCCGGCCTGTTTATATCAGTCAGTAAAAACGTTGTACTTATTCGTGTGAGGTGAAATTATTATTATTATACTAATAGATAATAATACATTGTTACTAATTCTAAGGTACTAAATATGCTGATTTGTGGGTGTTTCTTTTGGAGTCAAACCAAGCAGGGTTTTCAGACCCTATCGGTGACATTTCAGCACTGGAACAAAACAGGGAAATAAGTGGTCATGTGGCGTATGGATTGTTTTGCTGAACAGCTTAGCTAGCTGCATAGCTAGCTAAAGTAGCTTATCATTAAATGTTATAAAGCAGCATATTTTAAATACATGTGAATCTTAAACTTCCAGCAGAGTCATGAATGGGAGTACAAATCCGCTCTTGGACAAAGAAGAACATGTTTTGAAGCTCGGAGAGAGCTTTGAGAAGAGGCCAAAATCGTCATTTCACACCATCAGATGTTAGTAGCCAGACAATATTTTTAGTGATTAAGTATAAATGTGTAAATATGTTAAGTTTATTTTACTATACCCAACTTTAGTCACGCCTTTTGGTAAGTTAGATAATGTTAGCTAACTATCTTCGTCAGCTAGCTAACGTTAGCTAACAATATAGCTAGTTACTGTTAGTTAGCTAGCTTGATTACAAAAAACTAATGGGAATCAGGTACGTTACGAGCAAAAATATTGTAATCAGATTACAAATACTTTTGAAAAACTAAGTAGCGTAGCAAGGTGATTACTTTTAAATTCAGAAAGGATGTTTGCGAAAAAAATACATTAACATCTTTCTATTTTCTCAATGACATTCAATTGAGTACTGAAAAAAGGCGCAAGTTTAAGGTTGTTCCACCTGAGCGAGTCTGACCACAAATCAGAGACCACTATGATGACACACCAAATGCGTTTAATGTGTCCTTTTTTACTTCTTCTAATTCCTCTTAAGGGGAAAGTAATCAGATTACGTTACTGAGTTTGGGTAATCCAAAAGTTAGGTTACTGATTACAATTTTGGACAGGTAACTAGTATTTCTGACTTTATAATTACCTTTCTCACTCTTTCACACTTGTAGATGATTTCAAACCAGCTTCAATTGACACAAGCTGCGAGGGAGAGTTGCAAGTCGGTAAAGGAGAGGAAGTCACCATCACATTACCTCACATTCCAGTAAGAGTGGGTGTTTTTTAGTCATTGTTACTCAGCTGTGGTCTTTTGCCTCTGCTGTACAATGACAAAAGTTAATTCTGATAACTCCACTGCAGAAAGATGAAAGCAAACTGTGTACTTGATCATGATACTTGTTCTTGTGCTGTTCTTAGGGCTCTACACCACCCATGACAGTATTCAAAGGGAATAAGCGGCCATATCAGAAAGACTGTGTTCTTATCATAAATCATGACACTGGGGAGTACATGCTGGAGAAGTTGAGCAGCAGTATCCAGGTCAAGAAAACCAGGTGAGGGGGTTAACCAAAACATTGTCTCAAAAATACATAGTAACAATTAACTTGTGAATTAAGAAATGTGTTTTGCAGATCATTTGTGACAGTAGATGTGCAGCTGTTGACTTGGTTTTTCAGAGCGGAGGGCAGCAGTAAGATCCAGGCCAGGATTGAGCAGCAGTCGGTGCGTGCCACTGCCCCCCAGCCTCCAGCGCAGTTCCGTGCCCCCACTAAGCCTGGTGCAGGGGCCAAGACCTCCCCCTCCCCTTCCAAGGACAACCCCTCCCCTGAGCCCCAGCTAGATGACATCAAGAGAGGTGAGCCTCTTCATGTTGCCACAACTTTTACCATGTGATCATTCTTGTTTCTCGATTGACTTTGACTGTGTACTGACTCTATTGCCTCTGTCGCCCCCTCCTGTCCTGGCACAGAGCTGCGAGCGGAGGTGGAGGTTATTGAACAGATGAGTAGCAGTAGCGGCAGCAGCTCATCTGACTCGGCCAGTGGCTCTGGTAGTGGGGACGACAGCTCCAGCAGTGATGGGGAGCATGACGCCCCTCATCCCCAACCTGTCCCACTCCCTCTCCCCCACATCCAGCCCTCCCCCAACCGTAACCCCATGGCCAACGGAGGAGCAGACAGGCAACCGGGCAGCAACCAGCTGATGAACACGCTCAGTGAGTACCAGGGCTGGTAGGGCCAGTGTAGCACTCTACTTTGGGGGGACTACTAATAATTTATCTCTCGATAGAGGTATGTAGGTGGTGGTTGCAATGTAGTAATGTGTGTTGTTTGTGTGTCCACAGGGAATGACCTCCAGTTGAGCGAGTCAGGCAGCGACAGTGATGACTGAACTGCCTCCAGTCTCTCTCCTGCTCACTCTCTCTACCTCTCATTATCACACCATCTTGCTCCCTTCTTTCTTCTCTTTGCCTGGTGCCATTTTTTCATTGCTGTGGTAACTGACCCAACTGTAAAACCTGGTTTTATTGTATTTTTTAAATCTCTGAGAAGCCGGCCAACCTGGAGATTTAATAGTGTATTTTTGATTAGCTGTATATTTTGATTTGTATTAAGAATATATATATATTAGAATGCATATACATATTTTCTGTAGTTAGAGCTCCTAGTTGTATCAACTTGTATCACAAGTCTTTGTTTTCTTGTTTCATCACAGGGGGAGGGGCTTATTTGGACTATATCACCCCCAGCCTCCCTATTTATCTGCAAATCAAAAGAAGGCACTGAAAGCATTTCACCCATTCCATGTTTTTATCAGTATCATGACACTTTCAAAATCAGTCTTTTAAGAGGCAAGGATACAGCTCACATTGATCTAAGCTATAGATGATACTAAAGGACATACTCATATTTTTTTTACGTAGCATCAGATTCTAAAGTTTAAATTTACCACTTACTAAAGGTTTTAGCTGGAATATTGACCTGTTCTGGTGAACATCAGTAACAGGTAATGGTAGTAAATGAGCCTGGGTCAATGCTTTACATGTCAAAGCACTTTAGTTTAATTGTAATATCACTTTCAGTAGTTTCCACCTAAAATATTTTGCATTGCTTTTAACAGCACCTAACCAACACCCAGTACTTAGTTCACCATACCCTTTATCGCTGATCTACTATTTCCACATCTATCATTTGACTTTCTGATTCTGTCTCACTCAATAGCTAGGTTTCCATCCAATTGGTGACAGATTTTAATGCGAATGTTGTAAAATCCGTATAAAAACAATATGTGCATATTCCCACCAGAGATGTTTGCATCAAATTGACTTGTTGGGGATAACAGTATGTGCGTGATGACTTATTGCACATAAAAACAACTTTTGCGATTGAATTCCCATGTACCGAATAAAAAATACAAGTTAAATGGGTTTCCATCGCATTTTAAACTCTACTGAAGAAATGTTGCATTATATTGCAAATCTCTGGTGTTGGCACGTGCGCTCTAGCCAACAGCTCGCAGATAGGCAAGTCTACATGATGAGATTGTTATGGATAAGAGCGTGATTATTTTTTATTTGTCAAGCATCGATCACATTTATTGGAAAGGCGCATCAAGCTCATCACAGTGCACTTTCACCACCCTTCATTTATTTCATTTAGCCTAATAAACTGCATGCTTTCCCGAGTTGTAGTGGGAGGATCACGCAATATCATCACGTGACTCCAAATTTACTTCGATATGATAGTTATGTCAATATAAAGGCGTTTCCACCGTCTTTTTTCGCATAATTAAATTTACAGACACAAAAAGATCCCACCTTGTCTAGCGTATTTAGTTTAGTCGACATTTGGAAAGTTTACCGACAAATGTGCTGTTTCCATCAGGCCTGTAGTGGCATTTCTTTATCCGACATGAACCTTACTCGCATAAAAAGGTTGGACGGAAACGTGGTTACTGGGCCAACCATATATCACTGTCCCAAGTTCCCAATTATATATCACTGGCCTAGTGTCAGACCAGTGTAGACATTTTCAGACGTACCAAAGAAGCAAAACAAGACTCTGAACAAGTAGTGACACTGAACTTCTATTTTTACTTAGACATGAGTCTATTTTCATCAGACTTTGAGTTATTCATAAAATATAACCGCTGCAATAAATTGACCACTTGTTTTTTCATCAGTTCCATAGATTCAACTGATTTGGAGTGATAGCAGTCACATTGGATCACATCTTTTAATTTAGGAACTGTTGTGACAGTGAATATAATTTGATACTCTATATCATGTGCCCTATAACAAAACAATCCCTAGTCCAAAAGTCATAACAAATCGATAAAAAGGGTTAAAACAAATATCTTGATGTGTCCTCCATAGAGATGTGACATTGTGGTGTATCCCTGCCATAGTATCCCACTGGGCACATCACGTAATTTCAACGTGGAAATTTGGGTAATATTTGGTTGAGACATTGATCAATGAGATTTCAACCTTTATTCACCCACTGAAAGAGACAGCCAGAAGTTTGTTGAATTTCCATTGTGTTATCACTATGCTTTCAACCATTTAAAAGCACAACAAAGTTAAAATGGTAATACAATGTCAGATATTTTGTATTTATACAACAATTTAATGTGTTATCACTGTGCATACTCTAATAGCGCGACCAAATGACCTGGATTGCAGTTGAGATTACATTAAAAACACATAGTGCAAGTGATCAATGGTGTTCGACATTCTGCGCAGATTATTATAGCAATTGTGAAGATCTCCACAGACCTGCGGTGTTTGGATGCTATCTTGGGCATGCACGCTTTCTATTATTACATAAGAAGACATGTATAGTTACTGTAGGCTAGCTTCAAAATGTGGCCATGGTGTCACGACTTCAACCGAGGCTGACTCCCTTCCTTGTTTGGGCATGTTTCGGCGTTCGTCGTCACCAGTTTACTAGCTACTGCCGATCCCATTCTCATCACTCCACTTATCTTGTCTTGTCAATCACACACACCTGGTGCTCATTCCCCTAATTAGTATGTGTATACGTGTTCCCTCTGTTCCCCTTGTCTTTGTGAGTGATTGTTTCATTGTGAGAGCGAGTAGCTCGACTCTTCCATTTATTATTGCTGGGTGCGTTTTATTTATGTAAACGGAATAAACTCTGGACTTCGGTGTTTTACCTCCTGCGCCGGACTCCTTCATTCACACCTCATCACACATGGATGTGTGTTACTCATTTTAAGGTTGAATAAATACTGTCACATTAGTTTGTAAGATAGCCTTAACTTTAGGCTATTTACTGTATTCCAAAAGGAAACCAAATATCAACATTTTAAAGGATATCTAATGCTTGGATGGTTTCATCTGAGCCACTTGCTTAATCCTATTCTTTAACTTTTATTTTTGGTTTAGTTAGAGGTGAATCCAACATATCATTTGTTAACCTGTGGACAAGTTAATAGGCTATTTACTGTATTGCAAAAGTTATATTGAATTGTGTTTGGTTGTCAACACAACCAAATATCAACATTTGAAGGAGATGTATCTTCTGATTGGATAGTTCCATCTGTTCCACTGACTTAGTCTGGCTTTAATTCCAGTTTGTCTACAAATTAATTATTGATATGTTGGATTCATGTCTCCAAGAATCAAAATGAAAGAATAGGATCAAATCAAAGTTGAAGTGCATTTAAGGTTCGATGTGGTTAGTCCTATTCTTTAACTTTTTTGGTTGAGATGGAGACCTGAATCCAACATATCAATAATTAATTTGTAGACAAACTGGAATTTAAGTCAGTGGAACAGATGGAACTATCCAATCAGAAGATACATCTCCTTCAAATGTTGATATTTGGTTGCATTGACAACCAAACACAATTCAATATCCAGTTTGTCTACAAATTAATAATTGATATGTTGGATTTGTGTCTCCATCTCAACCAAAAATCTAAGTTAAAGAATAGGACTAAATCTAATCAAACTTTAAATGCACTTTACATAAACTTTGATTTAGTCCTATTCTTTAACTTAGTCCTATTCTATCTAGTCCTATTATAGTCAGTGACAAATATCAAAGCTAAGCAGGGCTGGGCTTGGTTAAAACCCTGAATGGGAGACCAAATGAATAGCTGTATATAGATCAACTCTCCAATAGGAGGTGCTGCCCAGCTTAAAGTTTTTTTTCCTGATAGTGGATATGTCGTTGAAGATCTGACGTTGTTTCAAAGGTACAAATTCAACATATTTTATACAAGGTTTGTCTATGTTGAAAATTGGTTACATTGATGAAATTCCACCCTCAAAATAAGTTTACATTGATTACTTTTTTCAAATCCAATGTATTTTCCACGTAGATTCCATGTCACAATACATTGACAAATTTACGTTGAAACAACGTTGATTCAACCAGTTTGTGTGTTCATAAGGGGCTTAAATGGTATTTAACTGGTGCTGTTGTGTGTCTGGGACATCAATCAATCAATGGGTATATAAATGTTAATGTTTTGTTTTCACAGCAGTTTGATCCATGTACTTGGAATGCTAATGCTATTTCCAATGTGTGTCTCTCTGGCATCCAGTGTTATTTCTGACCCATACTGTTACTGTCCCAGTACAACCTCTCTTGACACATTTATCGAGGTGGTTGACTTCTTGCGTTTATCTCTAGTTTTTTGAGATTTGAGGTGTATTATAGTGTGCACATGTATTTAAATTGAATAGATGCTTTCTGTAATGTAAATGTAATTAACTTTTTATGTGTTGACCTCACATCAGTCAACCAAAATAAAGGAAGAAAACAGTCAGAGATGAGTTTCATGAAAATTATATATTGCTGGTCTTAAATAATAACTTACAAAGTCAAGTGAAATGTACGTCTCGAGGAACACCTTCAGTTTGAGAATCAACACACAACAACCTGTACACACTGAGCATTTAAAAATACAGTACGTTTCTTCCCTGCGATGGCGCAACAACCAAGTCACATTTGGGCGTTTCTCTTCAAACAAGACACAATTATACAAACTAAACAACAAATACATAAATAGCTTTTTTCCCTTTAAATCATTTATAGCGAAATTAGATTTATGAATCTGGCTCTTGCTACAACATATCAATTGATCGATATATAAATTAACAATTTCAACAACAAACAAATAACAATAATAATAATACAAAATGCTATCTGTTTTTATACAAATCTTGTTAGTTTACAGTATAAAAGAATCCTATGCAAGTGAGACCTGGGGGTTGTTCAATATATTCATCGTAGAGCTTATCCCTTATGCTGGCAGGGTGTACATGCTTGTTCAAGATGCATTGGTTGGTTTCCTGGTTTTGAATGTCTGTGTGCTGCAACAAAGTGAAACACTGAGGCCATATTGGCTCAACAGAGAGCCAGCCCCACCCTTTTCCTGAGGGTCCATAGCAGTCTGGATGGATGTCCCTTGAGTGTCCAGAAGCATAGCCACAAAGGCTTTCCCAAAGGGCCTCCTCCCCTTTATCTAGAAGGGTGATGGTTCCCTCCAGATACCTATCCCATTTTAATGACAACATGGGCGCCATCCTGTGGAAACACAAAGGTATTGCTGGACGAGTAAGAGCAGCAGATAGCGGAGCTTCAAACCCCAGTCCGTGATGGCCGGTATCTATCTCTCTCAGAGTGGACGAGGCCTCTAGCTGACCCACCTGTCTTCTGAGATTCCCTTCAGTCCATCGTTGCCTGTCTGTTCATCCATCCATCACCCAACACTCACCCCCCATGTTCCCCCCACTCCCCCAGGTATGAACCCTGAGTGCCAGGCAGTGTTGGTTGTTTGGCCCTCTCTCGGCCCCCTTCCCCTGGGACACTAGGGTCACCGGCCAGGGCAGGCTGTGGGCTTGATGCAGCGGCCCTGGAACAGCACCAGGTTGGCTGGGCAGTGGCAGCCAGCCACGCAGGGCTTGTGGCAAGGCCCGATCTCGTTCCAGTTGTCACAGGTCTTGGTGCAGCCTGGGCCACAGGTGTCATACACCGCTCCGTGTTTACACTGGGTGGCTGAGAAGGTGGGAGGGAGAAGATGGGGTTGGTTTGACAGAACTGCATGAATGGATTTCAGAGATACATTCTGTTGAGCAAATTGAATGTGGGGGGAGTCCCCTGTTCCATGAAGTTTAGTGATAGGCTGTGTGTGCTGTCACTCACCCATGCAGGCAGCCTCTGGCTTCCAGTGGACGGGGGCTCCCTCCCTCTCACAGGCCCGGCTGTAGGCAATGAAGGACTCACAGTAACAGTTCTTATGCACCGGACACTCACACATGTCTGTTACACAGGACCTAGAGAGAGAGAGAGATAAGAAAAATAACTGTTGAATTAAATTAAATGGACTGGATTAAATGTATCTCCATACTAAGAGGGTTCCATGTTCGACACAACACTGGACATTCTATGCACATCGGAGATAATGAAATATCACGTTTGATATATGAATAACATGTCACAAGAGCGTTGTGTCAAATTATGCTCCCCAATGTTCCTGAGACACCCCAAGCACCACTGACCTGTAGAAGGAGGCAAAGTCCACCACCCGGTGACACTTTTGGAACTCCCAAGACTTGAGCTTCTGACACTCCCTGTGGGCGCGGAACTTCACCTTTACACTGCCGGGACAGAGGTACGAGGTGGGCCTCCTGAGGGGCTGTGCACAAACCTCGTTCCCGTCCACGCGCCACGACTCGGCAAACTCATCCACGACGAACTTGAAGAGGCCGTCGCTGCCCATGGTGTCATCCCGCTTGTGTCCATTGTAGTTCCCACAGAGGCCACAGAGACGACCGCGCAGGTGAGGAGCAGCCACCACCTCCACGAAGCTGTCCCCATCCCACGTGATCTCCAGACCTGATGGAGGGGGAGGAGGGAGAAAGAAAGAGAGAGACAAAGTTATGCTTCAAAAAGGAGCTACAGTGTGCTTTAGCAGTGTTCTTTGGGTTCCAATGAAGTTAACATGCAGCCCGTCTAACCTGCGATGGTGGTGAGTTTAAGCAGGTATCCATCCAGGTCGATGTGGACCCCAGGGCCATGGTAGGGCAGGGCGATGCGTGTGCCGTTCCTCCTCACCGTCAGGTGCTGGTGCAGGCTGAGACTCAGCCCTCCTATCCTCAGCTCCACTGACTGGGTCCAGGAGTAGGAGCGGGTTCGCCTCGCATCGTTCCTCACCAGAACCGTGAAGCCAGAGTCGGCGCTGTTTCCACCCCCGCCGGAGGGGACACCACCACAGTCTTGAGTCAGAACATACTGGCAGGTTCCCTGGAAGTTAAACGTGCGCCCGTCGAAGGTGTTGTAGTGGGGGTCGCCGAATACGGTACACACGCCTGGCTCTGGAAGGAGTGATAGGAGGGAGAGAGAGAGGCAGGGAAGGAGGAGAAAGAGGGAGTGTGTTTAATTATGGGCATCAATTTGATCCATCTAGTTTTCCTGTATTTTGCATGAGAAATCTGCGATTAATACAACATGACTCAATTTCAATTTGAGAGAAGACCAAGAAAGAAACAACTGCCACAAAACTGCAAAATCCAACCCACAAAGGTGTGTGAGGACCCAGCAGAGGAAGAGGGGAGTAACTTACTCACTTTCAGTGCAAACCGGGCAGCAGCCTGTTCTGTTCAGGATCTTATTCTAGGAGAGACAGACAGACCGTTAGATACACAGACATAGAGAGAGATCAGTAGGCAGCCAGTCAGAGCGCAAGAGACAGACAGACAGTCAACTGGACACATTACATATTAATACCCACACACATAGACACAGACAAAACCAGTCAAACGTGGACAGTGAGACATTGATACAGACAATTGTTACTCTCTGCCTGGTGTGTGTGCAAGAGAGAGAGGGTGGGTGGGGAGGGTACGTTTCAACTTCCATCAGATGTGCACATTTGAGAACTCTATCCCCCTCAACCCCCACTTACCGTTGCCCCAGATCTGTTCTCTCTCCCAGATCCTCTCTCTCTCTCTCTCTCTCTCCCAGATCCTCACTCTCACTCACTCACACACACACACACACACACACACACACACACACACACACAGATCCCACCCAACCCTCATCACAGTGCACAAAGGGCGCTCCCTCTTTGAAGCTCTGCCTTTGAGAGATGGAGAGATTGGCTTTCAGGGTCTAAATATATGGAAGCTCTTCTTCACTGTCACTCAAACATCACCCAGACAAAGACCTGACTGGAGACTGTATGTCTCCTATGGGACAGAGGGGCAGACATATGGGTGACTGCACTGTGACAGTGTGACAGGTGAACGCTACATGACCACCGGGAAGGTATGATGAGTGGATGTTGTGATACTGTATGACAGGTGACCGCTATGTGACCATATCTATATTGCAATTGACCGTTAGGTGACCATGTCTCATTTGGCTGTTATGTGACTATTACGACAGATGACCATGACCCAGTGACCAAGACACAAACACAGATGGCCGTTAGGAGATATACTACATGACTGTATGACAGGTGAACGCTGTGTGACCACTAGGAATCCATGACAAAGGCAGCCATATGTGACTGTCATTTTACTGTCTGACTGATGACCGTATGACAGTTCATTATGCTACTATTTGACCATTATCTGCTCCATAACCATATGGGTGTTGTGTATATGTGATGGTGGTGGGTTGCTAGCTTAAAAAATAATGGCAATGAGCCTTTAATGTCGACTATATGAACGTATGAAAGAACAGATGACCACTACATTACCGTGCAACAAACAGCCGCTATGTGACCATAACAGGTGAGGCTATGTAACCATTGTAACCGTGTGAACGCTGGTCACTGACAGCATGAATAAGTAACTGACCATTTGGTCACTGGATTTCAAAGAATCTACTACATCATCCCAAGACAGGTGACCTCAACGCGACCGTATGACAGGTGACAGCCGTGCGAACTGGGACCGTTACTCAACCACTTGACAGCGGAAGGTATGGTTACTGTGGTAAGTTACCACAGTCGTGCCTTGGCCCACTCACACTGTTCTGGCCCAGGTGAATCGGTTCTGACTGCTCCTTACCGCTCCACCGCTAAATCAGCTTCCAGCCAGCTGCCTACAGTGACACCAACACGTCACGCATGTGGATTTAACGTGTGGCGGTTAGTCACAGATAGTAACTCTGGACGGTAGACAACCTCTGTCTGTCTGAGCGGGAAAGGGACCAGATGGATGGGGACGTGATGGTCGTGGTAGGTTGTTTATGTGATGAAGTGTGAAAGGGACTGTCTCATGTTGATGATTCAGTGAGAACAGAGGGACCACAGGGATATGTCCTATAGGTATAGGCAGTGTTCATAACATAGGGATAAATGCATGTAAATTGCAGGTGGGAAATTGTTTAAAGCTGAAATCTGCATACGGTAAAACAGAGCCACTGTCCGCCCCAGCGCATTTGTTATTGTTTTTATTTTGTTGATGAAACGGAGGGGAGGAGCATTCAGCATTGTGGTAAAAATAACTTGCAGTACATACTCTGCTGTTCTATCACGGGTGCAATGATTTGCAATGATGTCTGAGGGAAAAAAACGGTGTTTGTTGTTTGAAGTAACTACTTTGTTGTTGTAATATCGCAAACGGACATGGCAGTTTCACCAAGTACGGATTCCAGCGTTAAGGTGATAGGTAAAGTGAGTGAGCATATTTTTTAAAGTATATTCTAATCGATGTCGTCATTCACATCACTTAATTGAACAATTCCTGGAATGAAAAAGGCGTGATACAAAAAGAGACAGTTTGTGATTGGGCCTTGAGCCTGTCACTCACCGAGGGGCAGCTGATGATTGGCACACACTGCTTTGGCTGGCACTCGATGGCCCCATTGATACAGGCACACAGGGTGCAGTTCACAGACGACCACATGTCTCCCTCCTAGAGCAGAGTAAGAAGCAGAGAGGGAACCAATCAACCACAACATCAATCAACTTATCAATCAAGTATTAATGTCTGTATAAATATGCATATAAATGTCAGAATAAGGACAGCTGCTGTGGATAGTATCAGTGTTGAATGTTGAGGCAATGGTAAGGTTCTATTTTTCGAAGTTGATATCAGGGATGCATCATTAGGGTGTTGTCCCACAGTGTCTCACCCGGTAGATCTTGTTCCTGACCCGGCAGTACTTCACTTCCGCTACCTTCACGAAGGACAGACACTCCTCACAGCACTGGTCACCATGGCAACTGCCAGGCCGAGAGCAGCGCTTCCTGCACACCACAGTGGAATTCTGGGAAGGTGGAGGGATACGAGGGAAGGTGAAGAAGTCAGTTATTGATGAACTTGGTAATCTTATTACTAATTAATAACTTGGTAATATGGCATATAAGAAGTTGAAGGTTGAGAGATACGAGGGAAGGAGAAGGGGTCAGTTATTGATGGTAACTTGGTGATATGGTACATACGTTGAATAGAGTTCTGGGGTCTGGTTCCCTGGTCAGTTCTTACCTTGCAGGTACAGCTGGTGCAGTTGTCGTGCTTGAAGGAGGTGCCGTTCTCATAGACCTCACTGTGGAACAGACAACTTCCCATCGACAGGTCAAACACTTTCCTCTGACCTGACGGAGAGACAGAGAAAGAAAAAAAGAGATCAGTTTGATGATAATTATTAGAACTGTTATGATGTTTTAATAATGTGTAAATTTGAGATAAGTACTCTTTTTCATAAAATATGAATATGTTCTCCAGACTTCTATCTGAGAGTCCTATTAGGAATTTGATGAGAGTGGGGTGTTACCGAGGCACTTGGGACAGCACTGTCCGGGCTGAGTGTGGCTCAGGTGGGTGGGGCATGAGAGGACAGGACACACCTCCCTGATGCATAGGGTCCGCCCTCCCTGAAAGAACACAACATCGATGTTAGAACAATGCTGCATTAATCTTCTCTTATGCATTATTCAACTTATCTCCACCTAATGACCTTTTCCCTTATACAATATAATGTGTACCTTTGTCTGGACCTGTGAAACCTGGGTTGCCACCTATAACAGCTCACAAACACAGCTACTCTAGATGCCAGACAGTTGTCACAGTTCACCCTGGCCCTGTAGCAGTGTGCCCTTATTAACGGCTGGTACAGGACATAGTGTACATTAGTCCCACTGAGGCGTTAATGTGTTTACAGACTCACCACAAGTTAATATGTTTACTCACTCACCTCCACTGTTTGTTTACTAAGGGGAGGAGGGGGGGACTACAGAGGGGCCAAGACAAACTCATTTGGACCACAGAGGGGCCAGTCACTGTACTGTGGGGACTGAAGACATGCATGTCTATACAGTGTATACTCACAGTGCAGGTGCATTTAATACAGGGTTTTCCCTCTGGGTGAAACTCTTCCCTCTCTTTGTACAGACGGCCCTCGAAGATACAGCCTGGAACAAAAGAGACACAGAGGTTAACTTTATTATCTCACACACACACACACACACACACACACACACATGCGCACACACACACACGAGTACACATTCACTCACTCTGGCACGTTGGACAGCACTTCTTGGGGTGAATCTTGGGGTTCTTGCAGTGGACGACACATTGCACTTCCGCTTCAGTTATGACACCTTCCTGTCAAAAGCAGGAAGCAATTAAAACAGTGATTTATTTATCATTATTCAAGCAAATTTCCTACGACATATTCCAAGCAGCATCCCTGTCCAGTCCTAGGCTACGTACGTCAGTGAATGTCCTATATTCCCAAATATTCTGCTCAATACCTCTCATTCCTGTATTAGACAAACTCGTCTCTCGGTTGCTTAGCGGTTTGAATCCTGTTTGAGTTACGTAAGGCATGTACTACATAAGCAAGATATTAGATAGGGACATACCATTCTGTATCTCACACATGCATGCATCTATTCTACACACTGGGACACCCCTGATCACTCACTGAAAATGTACCTGAATAAAATATCCTGAATCAGCAAGATATTCCATGAGAACCACCATTACCTGAAGCTCAGAAACACACACACACACCTCCCTTGCTGGGCAGACCTCATTAGTCTGCCATGTGTTTAGTTCAATAGAAGTGACATATATTCTGCATACACTAGGAGTGTAAGAACTAGGGACCACAACACGTTGTTTGTGTGTGAGGCCTGGATACTGGTTAGACCCCCCCCTCCCTTTCCCTGTGTGTGGGTATCTTGGGGATGGAGTAATCGAGTGGTGTGGGGAGCTCTGTTTTTTTTGCACGCAAGCCTTCAACACGCATACTAACACATAGCCTAGTTTGACTGGACCTCCCCAATGCTGGAGCTGACACTCCCTCACACAGCTGTGTCCACTGCTATTGACTTATAGTGTTCAGATCTGTGTGTGTGTTTTAAGTGGTATTGTGGGACCATGTGAGTGTGTGGTGTGTATACAGTAAGTGAGGTTGGGTATACATGTGGTTTGAATGTGTTTTGAGGAGACATGTGGGGTTAGTCTTGTGAGGTAGACACTGGGTTGGGGAGGCTTGGACTCAGATGGGTGGACTGTACTGCCAAGTTCACCTGGCTCCTCCCCCAAAGACAATGAGCCATATATCATCTCTCTCTCTCTCTCTCTCTCTCTCTCTCTCTCTCTCTCTCTCTCTCTCTCTCTCTCTCCCCCCCCCCCCCCCCCCCCCAACTTCATCTGCCTTTCTTTCTCTTTATGTCTCTTCTTCCTCCAACCCCTTGGCTATCTGTCCACTGTCTCATTCTCTCTCTCCCTCACATCTCTCCTTCCCTCCCCAACTTCCTCTGTCTGCGTCATTCAGCCTCCCACTCCACATGTCTATCTTTCCCTAGATCCTCATTTATCTTTCTCTCTTTCTTCATGAATCTCTCTCTCCCTTTCCATCCGTCTCTCTTTCACTCACTCCCCCTCTGTCTGTGTTCGCCTCTTTTCCATTCCCTCTCTCTTTCCCTCTTCCCTGTCTGCCTCTCTCTTAGTACTCCCTCTTCCCTGTCTGCCTCTCTCTTAGTACTCCCTCTTTCCTTCTCATTTTCTTTACATTCCCTCTCCTTTCTTTTCTCATCATCATAATCATAATCTCTCTCTCTGTCTGTTCCCCTCCCTTTCTCTCTTTCATTTCTCTGTGTGACACTCACCTGACAGCGGCGAGAGATGCAGGGCTTGGTGGAGCTGGTCCAGGAGACAGAACTATTATAGGACTCTCCATCCAGCTGACAACCTAGAGGAGAGACCAGACAGACCCCACAGAGCCCCAGGATAGCAACACAATTAGACTCAACCAAATCATGAGAAAACAAAAAGAGAATTACTTGACACATTGGAAAGAATTAACAAAAAAAGAGAGGGAGAGAGGGGGGGGGGGTAGAGAAAGAGAGACAGAGAGAGAGAGAGAGAGAGAGAGAGAGAGAGAGATATGGAGAGAGAGAGAGAGATCGAGATCCAGTGGGAGACAGAGCGAGCGCGCTTACTGCGCTCTCTCGAGATACAGAGCTAGCGACATCGAACTGAAAGATAAATATAAAGAGAACTATATATGAGATAGATATCGATAGATGAGATAGAAAATTAGCACTCCAAACCTGGATGTGAATGTTTACTAGTTCGTGGAAACTCATAGTCTACATGGAGCACTAAATGGACTACATGTGTGAACATAGAGCTGTTTGCCTCTCCAGACCATAAGTGTTGAGACAGATTTAACACAGGGTTAGAAATCCACTGTAAGCGATGCCTGGAGGGAGTCTGTCTGCCACCACCGTCAGAGCCAGTTGGCTATAGTGCCCCCTATGGCTAGGGAAGACCTTTCTTTGATTGTCTTGATTTGGTATAGTGTTGGTGAGTTTTAGTAGTCTCGACACTTTCACATTTGTGCAATTCAGACACTTGAGACAGACAGACAGACAGACAGGCATGCACACACTCTGATTGACAACCCCAATCCATTATATAGGTGTATCAAGATACCAGAATATGTTGTTGTGAAGTGTCCAGATCCATTCCAAGGGCATGATAAAAGGCCATTAGTAACCCAACACCATGTGAAATGGGCCTGGGCCTGAGGTCTACTATGAGCAATCACAACGCTCCAGATACACCACCCATAGTCAATAAGGGACTAAATTAATACGCTCTTCAATTTCAACAACCTGTTCAGTTTCATCGGATATAGGGTTGTCTGGTTATGGAAACACAGCAAAACAATTCCTATGATAAAACCACTGCATGAAATATTTGAACAGTGGGATGTTTTTGTGCTGACATAAGCAAATTCCTGTTCTAAATTCATGGTCATGAATAAAACCCAAAGTCAACCACAATGGGGGAACAATAGGCACTAATATCGTTCACCATGACAACATGGGGCTTTCCACGGTCGACTTAAGCGAGCTCCACCTCTTCTAATTTTAATTAACTCTAACAAATGGCCGCGCCCCTGACCATGAGGTAGTCTGTGCTGTGGACCGTGTCCAAGGTGACCCCAACACTACCCGACCCCTGTGTGTTCCGACCGGGAGGCGAACATGTGCGGTCCAAGTCTGGGAGGCGGAGCGGCGTAGTGGCTTGTAAACTAGGTTTATTTCTGTGCCCTGTAAACCCAACGCCAACGGATCCCAACCGGTCCCAGAGAGGAGAAGTCCACCACTGCAGCTGTGTGTGTGAGTGTGAGTGTGAGTGTGAGTGTGAGTGAGAGAGAGAGAGAGAGAGAGAGAGAGAGAGAGAGAGAGAGAGAGAGAGAGAGAGATGCTGGCAAACAGTGTGAGAAAGAATAGGTCTGAAGACTTAAATACGAACCACTGTAGGCCTGTCACGTTTGTGGGTGTGTGTAAGTAGAAGCCGGGAAAGGAATAGCTATATGTGTTTGTGTATGTAGCAATTTACCCTCAAGCAGAATCTTCAATTGGTCTGAAACAGTACACATACACACATGCACAGTAACTATTGTCCTGTGGGAAGAAAAACGATTCCTCATTCTTCCACAAGGAGGCAGTAGTGGTTAAATAAGTAGGTTGACCAGTGCAGCTGGACTGACTGTCTTCTACTGTGGGACTCAAGCTGTCACGTCACCCTCACTCCTACAGGTAGCATCAATGACCCTGTTACCTGAACACAACCATCAAACAACATCACTGCAATGCTGCAGCAAGGTCTATACATTAACACTAAAGAGATCCAAAGGTAGACCTAACTCACTCCACTAGACAAAGTTCCAAGTCTACTGGTCTCTCTGAGACGACAGAACAGTACATGCATCCCCTAACCTTTGACCTCATGTTTTCATGGTGATGAGAGTAGTAGAGTGTGTATGCTGCTCACCTTTGCATCTCTCACAGCAGGCTCCCGTCTGTTTGACCACCAGAGCACAGTCCTCAGACACCAGGGGACACTTCTCCTGCTTACAGTCTGCCTTCCCTTCCTGATGGAGGGAGGGAGGGAAGGAGGGAGGGGAGAGAGATAGCGTGAAAGAGAGAGGGGGGAGGAGAGAGAGAAAGATAGAAAGAGAGTGGAGGAGAGAGAAAGAAAGAGGGGGAGGAGAGAGAAAGAAAGTGGGGGAGAGAGAGGAAGAGAGAGACACTTTTTGTTTGCCATCAGTGTATTCACATAATAAAAACTCCTACACATTCTTTGTCGACACACTCACTTTTTAAAGGCTAAAATGAACTCACTTGATAAGATCACTCGAGTTACATGTACTTTATGCAGAAATTCTCTTTCTCTCTTCTCACTTTATATACTCCCTTAACATTATCACTTTGCCACTAGCTTTATACACTCTCTTTATATAGTCCCCATTTACTCGGTGCAACCTAACTGGAGTGTATAATGAGTCAACTTCAAAGCCGGACTGTGGCCCAGATAACTAAAATAAAACTGGGCGGTTTTATTTACGGAGTGCTTTCACTGGATCCCTAACCACGCTGGTTTGGGTGATGTCATCAGTGAAGGCGAGAGAGGGAGGGTGAGAGAAGGGCGGTGAGAGAGGGAGGGTGAGAGAAGGGCGGCGAGAGGCGAAGGCACATGGAATCCACACAGTCTATGTAAAGCCCTCTCTAAACCACTGGCCTAAGTTGTAGGAATTTTCAGAGCACTTTCAACAGCCAGTTTGAGACAAATATGTCTGAGAGGGAGATATATGATGCCAGATAGATAGAGGGATGGATTGAAAGTGAGAGAAAGAGATATGGAAGGAATGACAGAAAGGAAGACAGATACCATCAGACATTAGGAGAGAAAGAGACTGGAGAGAGAGAGAGAGAGAGAGAGAGAGAGAGAGAGAGAGAGAGAGAGAGAGAGGAGAGAGAGAGAGAGAGAGAGAGAGAGAGAGAGAGAGATAGATAGAGAAATAGAAAGAGTGGAGAGAAGTTATGTGTCTTTTCTGAGGACCCCAGTTATCTCCAGTAGTGTCATAGTGGTCACATCTTTGTCCTTGAATCTTTATGTCTCTCCACACCTGTGCTTTCCCAGTTGGGCTATGGAGCCATTCCACTCGGCAGACATTAACACTAAGTGGTGTGAAGAGGTTTGACCCCTCTCAGCAAAGGTCAGGGGTCAATTCAGGTCACCACGCCTCATAAACACTCAACAAACCGTGCACTTTCTGAGGCTTCTTACTGGTCTACTGGTGGTATGTCGTGGCTTCTAATAGGCCAACGGGTGGTCTGGGGATTGTTATTGGACTACTGCTATTCTCTAGCATAATAACTAGAGAAATCTTTGACCTGAGGGGTAATAACATGTTGATAGGTTAATGAGACCATCTAAACATATATATGTAAAATATGTAAGATGTATTGATCACTGACATGATGGTCATGTGCTATGGGCAGATGATCACTAGATGGCGACAGCACAGTCAGTTTCACTATCTCCATATGCCAACTTCAGATAATCAAAATGTGTTCAGTCAAACCATGGTCTATGTATAATTTCTCTCTCCCAGTCTTTTCCACTATCACTCTCTCTCCTCCCTCTATCTCTCAGCCTGGCCTCAGAGGGCATGCCAGAACAAGCTGACATGCTCGCCAGCCACCGTGCCGCCGGTCTTTCATGGAAGGATGGAGAGATCACTAAAAGGCTCTTCAGAGGTGCACTCAAGTCAAAGGCCTACTTAAGCCTGGACTACTTGCCCTCGTGACCCTTCACCTCCCTCCAAAACAAACAGGTCGCGACCCCACAGAGCAGCAGTGGCGACTTACAACTAGATGAAAAAGGATAGGGCAATATATACATTTCACTGAGCAGTCACAAGCCTTTCCAAGAAGTAGGCCTATTCCTGCACCAGTGGTAGAAAGTGAATGGTGCTGAATGAACTGAATGTAACTGTTGGCTCCGATGTGTAGGTAGGCTAGTTCCATGAATTTTCTTTGAATTCAGATGGTTGTTGTCCTTCTTTATGTCCTGGCAGGTAGCCTAGCGGTTCGGATAACCGATCCGATAAGGTGAAAATCTTAACCCTAATTTAATCCAGGGGTGCCATACTACAGTGGAGGCTGCTGAGGGGAGGACGGAAACCATGTGCTTGATGTATTTGTATACCATTCCACTTACTCCGCTCCAGCCATTAACACGAGCCCATCCTCCCCAATTAAGGTACCACCAACCTCCTGTGCCATACTACTATGGCTGTCCCTGTAAAACAACACATTTCACTGCACCTATCTGGTGTGTGACAATAAAACATATACAGTACCAGTCAAAAGTTTGGACACACCTACTCATTCCAGGGTTTTTCTTTATTTGTACTATTTTCTACATTGTAGAATAATAGTGAAGAGATCAAAACTATGAAATAACACATATGGAATCATGTAATAACCAACAAAGTGTTAAACAAATCAAAATATATGTTATATTTGAGATTCTTCAAATAGCCAACCTTTGCCTTGATGACAGCTTTGCACACTCTTGGCATTCTCTCAACCAGCTTCACCTGGAATGCTTTTCCAACAGTCTTGAAGGAGTTCCCACATATGCTGACCACTTGTTGGCTGCTTTTCCTTCACTCTGCAGTCCGACTCATCCCAAACCATCTCAATTGGTTTGAGGTCGGGGGATTGTGGAGGCCAGGTCATCTGATGCAGCACTCCTTCACTCCTCCTTCTTGGTAAAATAGCCCTTACACAGCCTGAAGGTGTGTTGGGTCATTGTCCTGTTGAAAAACAAATAATAGTCCCACTAAGCCCAAACCAGATGGGATGGCGTATCACTGCAGAATGCTGTGGTAGCCATGCTGGTTAAGTGTGCCTTGAATTCTAAATAAATCACAGACAGTGTCACCAGCAAAGCACCCCCACACCATAACACCTCCTCCTCCATGCTTTACGGTGGGAACTACACATGCGGAGATCATCCGTTCACCCACACCGCGTCTCACAAAGCCACGCCGGTTGGAACCAAAAATCTCCAATTTGGACTCCAGACCAAAGGGCAGATTTCCACCGGTCTAATGTCCATTGCTCGTGTTTCTTGGCCCAAGCAAGTCTCTTCTTCTTATTGGTGTCCTTTAGAAGTGGTTTCTTTGCAGCAATTCGACCATGAAGGCCTGATTCACACAGTCTCCTCTGAACAGTTGATGTTGAGATGTGTCTGTGACTTGAACTCTGTGAAGCATTTATTTGGGCTGCAGTTTCTGAGGCTGGTAACTCTAATGAACTTATCCTCTGCAGCAGAGGTAACTCTGGGTCTTCTATTCCTGTGGTGGTCCTCATGAGAGCCAGTTTCATCATAGCGCTTGATGGTTTTTGTGACTGCACTTGAAGAAACGTTCAAAGTTCTTGAAATGTTCTGTATTGACTGACCTTCATGTCTTCAAGTAATGATGGACTGTCTTTTCTCTTTGCTTATTTGAGCTGTTCTTGCCATAATATGGACTTGGTCTTTTACCAAATAAGGCTATCTTCTGTATACCACCCCTACCTTGTCACAACACAACTGATTGGCTCAAACGCATTAAGAAGGAAAGAAATCCCACAAATTAACCTTTAAGAAGGCACACCTGTTAATTGAAATGCATTCCAGGTGACTACCTCATGAAGCTGGTTGAGAGAATGCCAAGAGTGTGCAAAGCAGTCATCAAGGCAAAGGGTGGCTACTTAGAAGAATCTCAAATATAAAATATATTTTGATTTGTTTGACACTTTTTTGGTTACCATATGAGTCCATATATGTTATTTCAAAGTTTTGATGTCTTCACTATTATTCTACAATGTAAAAAATAGTCCAAATAAAGAAAAACCCTTGAATGAGTAGGTGTCCAAACTTTCGACTGGTAGTGTATATACACACTGCTCAAAAAATTAAAGGGAACACTTAAACAACACAATGTAACTCCAAGTCAATCACACTTCTGTGAAATCAAACTGTCCACTTAGGAAGCAACACTGATTGACAATACATTTCACATGCTGTTGTGCAAATGGAATAGACAACAGGTGGAAATTATAGGCAATTAGCAAGACACCCCCAATAAAGGACTGGTTTTTGCAGGGTGGTGACCACAGACACTTCTCAGTTCCTAGTGCTTCCTGGCTGATGTTTTGGTCACCTTTGAATGCTGGCGGTGCTTTCACTCTAGTGGTAGCATGAGACGGAGTCTACAACCCACACAAGTGGCTCAGGTAGTGCAGCTCATCCAGGATGGCACATCAATGCGAGCTGTGGCAAGAGGTTTGCGTGTGTCTGTCAGCGTAGTGTCCAGAGCATGGAGGTGCTACCAGGAGACAGGCCAGTACATCAGGAGACGTGGAGGAGGCCGTAGGAGGGCAACAACCCAGCAGCAGGACTGCTACCTCCGCCTTTGTGCAAGGAGGAGCACTGCCAGAGCCCTGCAAAATGACCTCCAGCAGGCCACAAATGTGCATGTGTCTGCTCAAACGGTCAGAAACAGACTCCATGAGGGTGGTATGAGGGCCCGACGTCCACAGGTGGGGGTTGTGCTTACAGCCCAACACCGTGCAGGACGTTTGGCATTTGCCAGAGAACACCAAGATTGGCAAATTCGCCACTGGCGCCCTGTGCTCTTCACAGATGAAAGCAGGTTCACACTGAGCACATGTGACAGACGTGACAGAGTCTGGAGACGCCGTGAAGAACGTTCTGTTGCCTGCAACATCCTCCAGCATGACCGGTTTGGCGGTGGGTCAGTCATGGTGTGGGGTGGCATTTCTTTGGGGGGCCGCACAGCCCTCCATGTGCTCGCCAGAGGTAGCCTGACTACTATTAGGTACCGAGATGAGATCTTCAGACCCCTCAGACGTGGATGCCACACACACTACTGAGCCTCATTTTGACTTGTTTTAAGGACATTACATCAAAGTTGGATCAGCCTGTAGTTTGGTTTTCCACTTTAATTTTGAGGGTGACTCCAAATCCAGACCTCCATGTGTTGATAAATTTGATTTCCATTGATAATTTTTGTGTGATTTTGTTGTCAGCACATTCAACTATGTAAAGTAAAAAGTATTTAATAAGATTATTTCATTCATTCAGATCTAGGATGTGTTATTTTAGTGTTCCCTTTATTTTTTTGAGCAGTGTATATATATATATAAAAATGTCTCTACCCCTCCATTAGAAGTATCCTGGGAGGTCCAATAGCAATGCTGCCCTGACAGTTCTCTAACACCATCTTTGCTCTATAGACCACTGGGAGAACTGTACCACTAACCTCACAGTGCACTGACAGAAAGGGGGAAAGAAAAGGATGAGAGAGAGAGCGGGAAATAAAGGAGGATTGTGTCTTCTGTGAGTCTTCTAGACTACACTCTTAGAAAAAAGGGTTCCAAAAGGGTTCTTCAGCTGTCCCCATAGGAGAACCCTTTTTGGTTCCAGGTAAAATCATTTTGGGTTCCATGTAGAATCCTCTGTAGAAAAGGTTCTACATGGAACCCAAAAGGGTTCTACCTGCAACCAAAAATGGTTATTCAAAGTGTTTTCCTATAGGCAGCCGAAGAACCCTTCACATGCCGATTCCGCACATAAATCGAATGTTATTGCATCTCTGTACCTAGACAGACATGCTCTCTGGCTTAGTGGTTTGCTGATAACGTCAGCGGCAGAGGTAAAGACTGTAAAGTTACACGGTGAGTATTGATCTCCATGTTTGTGGAGCGGTTGGAACAGGAAAGGACCTTTGGCTTCCAAATGTTTGCAGATCACTGGTCAGCCCACTGAGCTCATCAATCACTGCTACCGAGAAAGAGGGGGCAAAAAGAGAGGGAGAGTAGTAGACAGCAGGTTAACTGGCTGTCTGTATATTATGTTTAGCGAGCGGGAGGCAGATTCCTGCGTCTAGTGAGACGACTGCTGAAAAGAATGGCTTCTCTGTGTGCCTCAGTTTCCGCCAGTGAAGTGCCATTAACAGGTACTCCGCAACTGGGAGCCTGTGAGTGACACTAGAGCCCTGACGGCTCACCCCCCACCCTTTAAAATCCGCTAACCCCCCCTAAAGACAGCATGGCGACACACTGGGGCCAGTGACATGGCGGACGGGCCAAGATGAAAGGCTAGCCGTGGCCCTCTGATGACTGATAGCATTCAGCAGGGCTCCTAGTGATGGAAGCCTGATAAGGAGGTGGTTAGCAGAGGAGACATATCAAAGAGACTATCAGAGCCGCTAGAGCCAGCAGAGGCAGCACGGCCAAAGTAGCACGCACAGTGCACACATACATATATAACCTTGCACACACACACTGTTTCTCTGTTTCACATAGGGCAAATACCCTGCAAGTCAAACAGGACATTTGTTGAAACTTCCTCACCACATTACACTTTTAAAGAGGGACTAAAAAGACAGGCGAGGGAGAGTATTATTGAATCTGGCTGCTGGTGACAGAAAAGCCTCTCACTTCCATTCTCAACCCCTAAAACAATGACCTTCACATTGTTCCAGGAAAGACGCCTCCTTTGACATTTGTAGCCTGGATTTAACAGGCAGTCGGGGCGTCTTTAAACAAACAATACAATGTTGTTTAAAAGCCAGTGTGGGCTTAGAAGGGAAATAATTACATAACTAGCCTAATGCTCTTTTTGAAAAGGTGGCAACATTCATCATTCTTTGTGATTAATAGAAAAAAACTGTACAGGCCTATTTGCCCACTTAGGACCTACAACTCGGCTATAGACTATACATAATTAGGCCACAATATGAATATTAAGGTTATTCAGTCAAGTGCAGAGGCAAGAATTACGCACAACAATTACGTTGTGTTCCTCCTCCGCCGGAACCTACGTGCCAAGAACAAAAAGGGAAGCAGAAGCCTGTAGCTCAATGTCAACTAACAATTACCTGCCCTAACACCATTTGAAAGTTATTTAGCAAGAATTGGGATTTGTTCTCACCAGACAGACGCAGGTGATGCACGGGTTGTCCGTTATGTTGGGTATGTGGAGCACCTCTCCTTCGTTCTCGCAGCTGGCTTCTGTACCTGTGAAGGGCGCAAGGAGAGAGGCAATAAATTCGCGCCTTTTCATCCTCATTGACGTGATAAAACAGCGAAACAACACGCATCATAGAAATTATGTTATGGACAGGCTTGCCATATTCGAATTGTGCTTTTTCTTTAGGCCTACCACGCATTGCACCGGCTATGCCATGACGGTGAGGTATATTTTGTAAACGTTAAAAGAAGTAGGCCTAATAGTCTGAGTTTTATCGACAAGTTTATATTTCTAACTTAATTTGATTATATAGGCTATAGCCTATAACTTTTTCTAAATGACGAAATATTAGATCAGCTTATCTCAGAATGATTTTGTTAGAGCGACTTAAATTTAGATGAGACATAACATTTTTATTTGAGCAGGTAGTGGCAGCAAGGGAAAGTATTAGGTGACAAAGTGGTTCTGTGAGAATTACAGGAGGGGTGGGGGGAGGCAATTACCCCGACGTTAGCCTACCCTACAACCTTCGCGTGTAATTAAACCAGCACAGATTTAAGTGATTGTGGGGAAACCTTTATATATAAATTTGCCATTTAGCAGACGCTTTTATCCAAAGCGACTTACAGTCATGTGCGCATACATTTTTACGTATGGGTGGTCCCGGGGATCGAACCCACCAGCCTGGCGTTACAAGCGCCGTGCTCTACCAATTGAGCTACAGAGGACTACTTTAGCCTCAATCCAATGAGGTTTTTCTTATTTTATAAAACGGAGATGAATGAATAGCCCTATAAATGTTGTTTACTCTTCATCCACCTCCTGCAGCGGAGAACAGTGACAGGGCGCATTTGTCTTTCTACAACCAGCCAACTTTCCTCTCCCACGAAAACGGTGCCTTCAACTCCGGGCCCTGCATGGAAGACAATAGACAGATGATATACCGCATATTTCGAATACCAGGTAGCGACACGCCATGGGAATTTGATCCGTTAGGATTATACTATAATGGTAGCCTACTCAGTTGATACCGATAGGCAGGTTTTTCTTTCCCCTGAAATAAATTATCATGTTTGCACAATGATAACGCGCCAGGTGACTTGGATACTGACCTCGACAGCACGACCCAACACGAGTTTCCAAAAACAGTAGATTGGCAAATGATACTGGTAATGCAATGCGCCTATCATAAGGTTTCAAACGAGCCCGGCGGTACCAGTTACCCGACAGAAGGTTGCTTGTCAAATTCTAAATGTTTCAGCTGAATGGGGTGATGATGATTGGATTTGCAAAAAGGCATCAACGTAAGGGCATTTCAAAAAAAAAATGTTTTAACCCAACTTATAACCTCAATTCAATGACATGGTGACATTTGTTGTTGATTTAACGTTAGTTGACAACTCAACCAAATGTAAATCAAAACTAGACATTGAGCTGACGTCTGTGCCTAGTGGGAAGTAACGGGAAAAGTGAATAGCCTATTCCCGTAGGCCTAATAGGCTAGTTTTTGGACTATATTCTTGTTTTTGTCAATTACTTGACATGTTTTGAAAAAAATAGGCCAAGTCAATGTATTTTACCTGTAATTAAAGGCGAGGAGGACTGTGGAATTTGGAACAGTAAAAACACGAATAAAAAGCTGCAGGTGAACTTAATATAAAGTTCCAAGGCGCTCGAGCAGCAATATAACACCATCCTAAAATTGGTCCAGTAAAAAAGAAAGAAAGGAAAACGTAAAAAATAAAATGGTATGCTAGAATATATATATATATATATATATATATATATTTAAATCCCCATGGGTTGGTGTGCGAATGAAAACCCTAGAATATATGGGACTCCAGCATAATTGCCCCCATTCAGGCTACTATAGCGTTCCTCAGTTCGTTTTGTTCCAGCCCATAACCTTCAGTTTGTCAAATTGCAAAACGACATCGCGTGTCCTCGGGCATCCGACAATCGACATGACACATGAAAATTACAATGACAATGCCGAGCGGACAGCCAGGCGACAGTCCTCATGTCACGTCCAGGAGCGCTCTTGTTTTCCCAAAAACAAGTGCTGGGGTAAGAAAATGTTTCCCAAAAAGTTTTAGTGAAAAACAAAGTTGATAAGATATTAAAGTAAAACAGATGCGTATAATAAAAATGACAAATAAAACTATTGGGAAATAAATTCCCAAAATAGACTAAAGATATACTCGTAATTAAATGTCTTCAAAAATCCTCATGTTTGGCAATACCAAAAATATTACAGATGTTGTCAAGCGCTAAAATAAACCGGTTGCGTTCGGAATTGTAGGTCCGTTTTGCGCGGAGATGCTGTCCAACTGTCTCAGGCTGAGTAGCGGGCTTTAGGTTAGGCTACACGAGCCGGCACTGGTCTCTCTCACTCGGAGCTCCGCGAGAAGCAAACCACCTCCAGCCCAAAGTTACAGTTAACTGCTCCTACTGAGGCGCACGGCGATGCCAGCGTAATAGAAACCCTACTACTCCAGTTAAACATCCCCGCAGGGTGCAGGAACCTCCTCCAAACAAAACGAGAACGGCCCCTCAATATTTAAATCGTTGCCGGGGGTTTTAATAATCCCAGTGAATTTACGTCCAATCTTGCCCGCTGCTCCCTGCGGCTGTGGTAATGAAACCCTCCGTACAATACCGCGCTGTGAGAGACCCACCTACTGCTATCGGATCTCGAGGCTGGATCTCGTTTCACTACAAACAAGCCTGGATACACAACATGCGCTTCACCTGTCCTTACTGTTAATCTCTGCTGCGCTCTTTCAACACCGTCAAACTGCAAAAGGTGGAGAAACGCAGAATGGAACAACGAAAATTCACTAATTCAGGCCACTTTGTAACAAGGTGGGGTTTCTGCGCACCTCGAGCTGCCGGGGGACCAAGCGTCATCTCACAATTGTTAACCCCCCCCATTGATGGGGAGCACCACAATCTCTGTCTGTTCAGTATCATATACTTTCAATTTTCCAGTCATATCCTCAATGCAACAATTATTTGATAAATTAGCCATTTTCTTTGTAGACCCCACTTCAATGGTCTGATGGCAATTCAGTATATATGATTGATAACATTTCAATAGCCTATAATAAGGGCACATATCTAGTTTAGGCTACATTAATCAGCTTGCATGACATGAAGTGTCTGTTACTGTTGTTTGAGACAGATTTAGAAATCTACACCTTTTAAAACAGTTTGGCACTCTTAAAATTGTGCTTCTGAAGAACCTCAAATGGGAAGGAAAAGCATTTCTTCAAAGAACCAATTATGACCCAACCCTACATTTAACTGTCAAGGAACAATGTTTTCTTTTATCTAATTGCATTGCTCTTGTTACTTCACATTGTAAACATGCCACGAGTGACGAGTAAACTTAGTGAATGTGTGTGTGTCTGTGTGTTAGAGAGCGAGAAAGGGAGTGTGTGTCACTGTCTTTGTGTCTACAGTGTGTGTGCATTCAGCAGTACAGATGAACGTTGTGTTAATATTCAACGCTTGATGGCGCCAAAGAGCACCCGTTTGAAGTAGAGGTGTCTATTCCCAAATTCTCCGCAAGATTATTACAGATGCCGAGTTTGAACAGTTATTTATTTAACTGTGACATAAATGACCCTCTTCCACTCTAAAACGAAATAGCCCTATTGGGCTGTCGTAATTCAGACTCCTTTGTATGGACCTTTGTAGCTCAGTTGGTAGAGCATGGCGCTTGTAATGCTAGGGTGGTGGGTTTGAATCCCGGAACGACTCATAAGTAAAACGTATTCACGCATGACTGTAAACCGCTTTGGATAAAAGCGTCTGCTAAATGGCATATATTATAGAGCAGGGAGGGTTGGGCAACTTTGATGGTGGCGGGGGACATAAAAAAAACGGAACTCATGAGGTGCCGCGGTGGCTCGTGGGTCTGCATACCCCCACCTTGCAAACAAAACATTTCAGCGGCTCCCCTCATGACAGCGAATATATATATTTTTTGTTTTAAGTTAATTTCCTGCAATTCTGCACATTTTGCCATGGGGGTGTAGAGAAAATGTTCCAGTTTTAAAACAAGTTTGCTGCAATTCTACACATTTTGCCATGGGGTATAGAGAAGATTTTGCAATTTTATAACTCATTTCATGCAATTCTATTAATTTTGCCATGGGGAGAGAGAAAAATGTGCAGTTTTACAGCTAATTTCCTGCAATTCTACCCATTTTGCCATAGCTTGAGGTTGGTAATTAGACCATGCTTACTACTACTACTACTACATAATAATAATAATGATAATAATAATAATAACATGCCATTTAGCAGACGCTATTATCCAAAGCGACTTACAGTCATGTGTGCATACATTTTTTACGTATGGGTGGTCCCGGGGATCGAACCCGCTACCCTGGCGTTACAAGCGCCATGCTCTACCAATTGAGCTACAGAGGACCACGTACATGTTTAGATAGCTGGCCACTAGACTAATTTACCAATCTAAAAATGTTCAGCTGACATGGCTAATTGAGTGGCTGCTGATGCACAACCACATTTCGAAGTTGCACTTTGTGTATTCTATTATTCAAAAAAAAAAAGGTCCCCCAAAAAATACATTATATTTGCATTTTATTTATTTTTGTGTGAAATTGGTCTACAAATGGGAGGAAGAGTTGCCCAACCCTGTTATAGTGTTGTGCGAACATGACTAAGTCAATTTGGATAAAAGCATCTGCTAAATGGCATATATTATTATATAATATATTATAGTGTTGTGCTTTTGTGTCACTGTCCCTGCTTGAGTCAATCAGTGTGAAGGGAATTTTGATCATTGTGTCTACTACTACATCTCATTGACATGGGGCAGATGTTGTGTAGACATTGTGTAGATGTTGCACTGACGTTAAGAGAGCCCTGGGAGGCAGCTGTCCAGGGTTAAAACTGCGGGCAGACAGTGGGTCTGGGTCCAGAGGGTAAGGGGTTAGACTCAGCTGTCGTGTCAAGACTGGAGCGCGACCTCCGTCCGGCTCATACCCATGCCAGCCTGGATCAGGCAGCAGCACCATGGTGGGTCCAGGGATACCCTCGCTCCATCCAAACTTAAAACAAGCCTGAACTCTGACCCCTGCAGGGTGAGAGGTCGGGAACCCGCAGGCTTCAGCTGTGCGAGCGGGCGACTCACAGGCGACTTCATTTGGGCCCCGATCAGAGACGACACACTCGTTCACAGAAACACACACACACAATGACACACATCATCTAGAAACACACCAGAACACTCTAATAGAACCGCAGACACAGAAAACACCATCATGCACAAAAACCCCCGTAGAGAAAGTGAGTGTGTCTCTTTAAGATAGGGGAGAGGAAAAGGAGAGGCATTTATCAAACAGCATTGTGAGAGCTGTAGATTTAGTCTGGGGCTGGGACCTATCACACTCAATACTTTCCATCGTTTTACAAGCTTTTCACAGGGAAGTAGGGATAACAGTTAATCTCCTCTCAGATACACATTAGAGTTACATACTGTTCTGGACAAGAGCATGCACATACATCAGATATACAGTACCAGTCAAAAGTTTGGATACACCTACTCATTCAAGGGTTTTTCTTTATTTTGACTATTTTCTACATTGTAGAATAATAGTGAAGACATCAAAATTATGAAACAACACATATGGAATCATGTAGTATCCCAAAAAGTGTTAAACAAATCTAAATATATTTTATATTTGAGATTCTTCTAAGAAGCCACCCTTTGCCTTGATGACAGCTTTGCACACTCTTGGCATTCTCTCAACCAGCTTCATGAGGTAGTCACCTGGATTGCATTTCAATTAACAGGTGTGCTTTCTTAAAAGTTAATTTGTTAATTTCTTTCCTTCTTAATGCGTTTGAGCCAATCAGTTGTGTTGTGACAAGGTAGGGGTGGTATACAGAAGATAGCCTTATTTGGTAAAAGACCAAGTCCATATTATGGCAAGAACAGCTCAAATAAGCAAAGAGAAACAACAGTCCATCATTACTTTAAGACATGAAGGTCAGTCAATCCGGAAAATGTCAAGAACTTTGAAAGTTTCTTCAAGTGCAGTCGCAAAAACCATCAAGCGTTATGATGAAACTGGCTCTCATGAGGACCGCCACAGGAAAGGAAGACCCAGAGTTAGTACCTATGCTGCAGAGGATAAGTTCATTAGAGTTAACTGCACCTCAGATTGCAGGCAAAATAAATGCTTCACAGAGTTCAAGTAACAGACACATCTCAACATCAACTGTTCAGAGGAGACTGCGTGAATCAGGCCTTCATGGATGAATTGCTGCAAAGTAACCACTACTAAAGGACACCAATAATAATAAGAGACTTGCTTGGGCCAAGAAACATGAGCAATGGACATTAAACCGGTGGAAATCTGTCCTTTGGTCTGATGAGTCCAAATTTGAGATGTATGGTTCCAACCGCTGTGTTTTTGTGAGACGCGGTGTGGGTGAACGGATGACCTCCGTATGTGTGGTTCTCACAAAGAAGCATGGAGGAGGAGGTGTGATGGTGTGCTTTGCTGGTGACACTGTCAGTGATTTATTTAGAATTCAAGGCACACTTAACCAGCATGGCTACCACAGCATTTTGCAGCGATACACCATCCCATCTGATTTGGGCTTAGTGGGACTATCATTTGTTTTTCAACAGGACAATGACCCAAAACACACCTCCGGGCTGTGTAAGGGCTATTTGACCAAGGAGAGTGATGGAGTGCTGCATCAGATGACCT